TTGTACCTGAAACGCAGGTACCTAAACCCCAACTTTTTAGGCCTGACAAACTTGCATTATTCCTATGGAAACAAAATGCCATGAAATGAAAGAAACCCACCAAAATTTCAAAATGTTATTGGAAATTTGTGACCATCTGGAGGGAGAAGCCATGTAATGAGATGGCTGTGTGTTTACATGACAATGGGAGCAAGGCTCAGATGCTGCTGCTCCTTAAATAGTTGCTCCCATGGGGTTTGGCAGCTCCCTCATGGGTTTGACTCCCAAACTTGCCAGGGTGCTTCTGTGCCATGGGTGGCATTGGAGATTGCCAGTGTCCTGGAGGCTGGCCCACCTCCAGAGTCAGAGCACACTGATGGCAATGGCTGCTCCCCCTGGCTTTGATTCTGCATCTTCCAGAACCAAGGTCCCTGGCTTTGCCTCGGTGTGCTTGTCTCAGTGCTGGATTTGCCATTGGTGTTTCTTTATAGTGGCAGCATAATTATTGTTGTTTCTTGACCCCAAATTCAGTGGCATCCATCTGATCCATCAGCTGGGCTTGGAAAATTGCAAGTCCAGCTGCCCTTTACAAGTCTTTGACATTTCTAATAGACCATGTTGCTCCTTATACTCCTGGTTATTGTCTTCAGTCAGGTGGCTACTGTACAGCACTCAGTCAACCAGCTTACCCACGTGGTGGGTATGTGCTCAGGCTGCTGTGGCCAGTGCCATATGCTCTGTTACAAGCCATGCAACTTATTAGATGCCACAGTCCTTGTTGCTTTGCTCATTCTCCTTATGCACTATCTTTGCTGTGGCTGATCTGAGTCAGATCTGTCTGTGCCCTGCTGTGATTATAGGGGGCAGATGCCTGCAGGAATAACCTCCTGGAGTGCAAAGCAGACCATTAGGTCTTCTGTGCGTAAAGGGGCAGGCACAAATGACCTTGCTTTTCTGATAGATAGCCAGTGGTAATAATAATCTTCCAAAATGACAGAAATAAATCTTGTGTTTTCCCTGTAAATGGGAGCTAGGACATTTGGGCTGTAGAGGCAGAACTGTAGGGTCCCAGCTCGGCGGGGATGCTGCTGGCTCATGTCATTCAACTGGCTATTGCTGTGGTCATGTTCTCATCATCAGTCATTTGTTATTCTACAAATGAATAACAACAAAAGACCACGGGAGTTGAGCACAAACAGATGGGCTGTTGTCTAAAACATCAAATACTGGTTTAGGCTTCAGAAATGTCTTTTTTGTTGTTGTTGTTGCTGATTTTTATCTTGTGTGGCAGCAGAATTTGGAAGACTGGCTTAAGTTGAGTGCTGTCAGCAGATCAACTCAAGTCCCTGTGCTGCGGATGGTCTCACCTGGCAGTTAGCTTGTATTGACACTGTCTTGCATGTCTTCCACCCTAATACCATCAGTTCAGATATTTTGTAACAATAGACAACACTGAATTTCATGGGAATTAAGTATCTGACCCCAGAAACAGGAGCAGTGTTTCAGATAAGAGTTTCAGACCTCCAAGCCATAGAAAGTCATTCATTTATGTGCATTTTAGAAGTTTTTCACAAAATTCTTTCTTTGTGTTTCAGGTAAGATTAACTTGGCAAAGATGGCTTATCCGATGAGCGCAGATTCTGATAGGTAAAAGTAAATATAATACTAAGGGTAATAGTGTCAGTCATCAGGGTACAGGACAGATAGCTGGAGTTCTCTGCGCTCTTATCTTCTTGTGGTAGTGTTAAGATGAAGAGACCTTGATATACTGAGAAGTGTTTTATCGCTTATCCAACACACAATTCCCATTTCTTCATAATCTCAGATAAAGGCTTATAAAAAAACACTTTTTTGACAGGACTGCATGCAGGAAAGTGTCAGGTGCACAGTTACTCAATAGCATGAGCTGTGCTTCTAGGTGGGCTAAAATCCTGCAGTTCTGGGAAAAGCCACAAGGCGGCGCTGTTACTTTAAGGCTTGCTGTGATAGTGTCATCCCCGCGCACCAAGTCCTCAAGTCTGTGACCTCCTTGTAATTAAAATGTAGTCTTCATATTTTTCAAAGTCATCAACAGAGAGCTAGGCTTAGGCACAAACATCACAAGCTCAGTATCATTAATTTCCAAATGGTTGCTGCTGATTTTTGGGGTGTTATTCGCAGTGCCGGATGTCTGGTAAAATACTGAGGTTATCTCATGGGAGAGGAGTTACTGGGGCTGTGAGGAATGCTGCTTCCAGGAATGTCTGATTTTTGTAGCCCAGGTAGGAAAGATACAAATTCTAACTCCTGCTTTGAATTTATGTTTGGAGAATGCTGGAATGGTTTGGGTTGGAAGAGACCTTAAAGACTATCCAGTTTCAACCTCCCTGCCATGGGCAGGGACACGTTCCACTAGAACAGGTTGCTCAAAGTCCTGTCCAGCCTGGCCTTGAACTCTGCCAGGAATGGGTCAGCCACAGCTTCTCTGGGCAGCCTGTGCCAGTGCCACAGCACACTCACAGGGAAGGGCTTTTTCCTAACATCTAATTTAAATCTCTCCTCTGTAATTTTAAAGCCATCCCCCCTTGTCCTGTTACTACCTGCCCTTGTCACAAGCCCCTCTCCAGCTTTGTTATCGGCCCCTTTAGGCACTGGAAGCTGCTCTAAGGTCTCTCTGGATCCTTCTCTTTTCCAGGCTGAACAAGCCCAGCTCTCTCAGCCTGTCTCCATAGGAGAGGTGCTCCAGCCCTTGGGAGCATCTCTGTGGCCTCCTCTGGACATGCTCCAACAGCTTTACATCTTTCTTATGTTTCAGGCCACTTCTATGGTACGTGTTCAGCTTGCAGGATGCACAAGACAAAGTGAACATTCATGATTATAAAACATTTGTTATCTCCTTAAATGCAATATTTCTCATACCATTAAGCCGCAAAAAGGTAAGTGATTGTAATTTCTGGGCAGGATTCACAGCACTTTGCAGCTGTGTGAACTGAGTTGCAAAACCCCCAAAATAATTAAAATACTCCACCAGCCTTCAAAGCTGCTGCTTTATGGCCATGTACATCTTTCCATGTGAGAAATGCTTTGGCCTTTGCCATGCCGGGCTCTGGCTCTCAGCAGACAGAGATTCCCAGCTCTTATAACTTACAAATACCAACACTGCAGCTGCTGCCTTTCTCTTCTGACTTGGTTTCTATCCTACAACTGTAATGGGGATCCCTGTGACAAGGATTTTGCTTTTTTAGTACCTCTCGATAAATGCATGCAAATGACTAATATGTCCAGGTATGGTATATAAGGGCTAGTGATATATCAAGGATAGATGTTATAGAAGAAATAATCAAGATGTTTTGAATGAGACAGCTTGGACTGGTGCTGGAAACTGAAAAGAGTAGCATTTCTGCGTCAGCTGGGCACTAGGCTAGACCTCTTCCCCTTGCCTGCTGTCATCCTGAACTCATTTCCTCCTGCCTGCACGTTGGGCTGTTGGATAGAAATCCCATGCTAGTACACTAACAGAGAAGTTTCTGTCCTCTTGGGCCACAGTAGTTTTTCCTGGAAAGAGCATTTTCTTCCTAGCTAATAATTTTTACAACAGACCATTGTGTAGGTTGTGTGTCTGTTTTCTAGGTGCCTGGAAAAGCTGATCCTCATTGCACTCAAGCAGGTAAGGAGCCTGATTCTAACAACAGTCATGTATCTCCCAGACAGACAGATTTGATTTTGTTGTTGTTGGTTTTTTTTACCACCTTTTCTCATCTGCACTCCCTGTGGTCTTCCCATAGTTACTGGGCAAAGCCACAGATTAAAAACAAACAAAACCACCTCTGATTGGATAAAGGCATTTTCAAAGCTGAAAAGGCAAATAAACATTGTGCTGTACACTCTTTGAAATATGGTCTCTGAAGGGGATATATATATAAAAAATGTTTTCTGTGATGAGTTAGCATTCTTTGGGCATACAATAGAAATTGCTTGTTCAGTTCCACGTTTAGGACTCTGCTGACAGAGTTCCTGTGTGTGTCTCTTCCTCAGTCCCAAGCCAATACAGCCTCCTTGTCTTCATGCCAAGGGATTCTTGCTCAGTCCTCACATTGTTGCCTCTTGTTTACGGCCAAAGAGTCCAACTCAGAATGCTCTGCCCAGGGAGTGCTAGCACCATGTTTCACACAGCTGACATCTGTATCAGCAGCTGTCTGAAACTCAGCCTCCTAAAGCCTCACTTGCAAAAGCCTGCAATGCTTAATGCACTGATGAACAGGAACTGAAGAATAATCTTACGGTTTGTACTACTCCATATGCATGTCCAAGCATTTGGGGTCTGTTTCTGTATTAACACCACAAACAGCTATTGCCTTATTTTGGTGGGGTTTACTCAAAAGTGCTTATTGATTTCTTTTTGCCACCTTACAATGTCTGCACAGAGTGCATTGGTGCTGGCTGACACAGTTTCATAGAAATAATTGTCCTGAGAGTAAAGGATGGGAATTACAGCACACACTTTTGGAAGAAGAAAATTACATCCTATCAGACCACAAATACACACCTAATTTACCATTAAACCTCTGCATTTAAAGCTTATAAAAGCCAGCGGCTGGAACGCTGCACTTGTTTTGCCTGGTTTGTTTAGCTTACGGCACTGTGATACGCTGATGTGCTTAGATATATAAATGCCTACCAGGCAACGTGGTAGGGAGCTGTAATGTATGGTGGCACTGCTGAGATTTGGGGTTATGCAAAAATGATCGTAGTTTTTTTCTGGGTCTTTTTTCCTTTTTTATTTTTTTTTTACAAAAAAGCCATAAGCTTTTGGCTTTTCTTCCAGATTAAATTGTAAAAACAAAATTTGGCAAAGGCAGCCAGATTTGCTAATGCAAACGGCCCTGTTTCTACTCATTTGGTAATACAAAATTAATAGGGAAAAGGATATTATTCCCACCATGTTGCACTTGGCATTTCTGTGTGGAACGGTCACAGCCTTATTTTCACCCTGGAAGACAAGGTAAGACCACATTGCTGTGTCTGAATGACAGCTTCCCCACCGCCCTGAGATTTTCCATGTCTAGCTAGTGACTCCTGACCAGATGTTTTTGTTGTGGGTTTTTTGGAGGTTTTATTTTTATTTTTTAAATCCATGGAGTTAAAATTAAGAATTAGAAAAATGCCATACACATGGAAACTAGCAGAGGAAACGGTCTCTGGATGTCTTCTGCGTGATGACTGCAGAGATACATAATTAAATGCAAAAATCTAATCCTAGGGTTATATCACAGCCTTGAAGACTCGATGTGCTGGCTCAAATTCAGTATTTTATTGCTTTGGGCACAACCAGTCCCTTCAATAACATGTTATTTGATTGGGAATTCATAAGCCCAATTGATAAGTGCTTTCCACCTGTGTGTGTTTGCACATTTTAGGGCAGCCTGTAGGATTTCCAGCATCTCCTTGGAGTGTGTGATAGGGTTATCTTTTCTCTATGTCCTAGGCTGGTAGAACTGGGCAGGCTGGGGGGTGATCTTGGAGCTGGCTGGTCCTTCTTTTTGTCTTTTTGGAGCCCCAGACTTGGTATGTTGAAAAGCAGATCTCTCTGCTTTCTCTCCTGATGTCGTAGAGCACAGGGAAAATCTTGAAGATGCTCTAAAGATGGAATTGTTTTGAGTCATGAAAACACTAATAAACACTCCTACACGCTTGCAGTACTCAGGCTCGGTTGTTCTAAATAATTATAATTGCTTTAATTCGTCAGATTTTGTGATGGCTCGTTCATTAAATTATGAGCTACATGAAAGCTCCAGCTACTGAGTCGATCTGGTAGAAATAGTAAGATAGTATTTAGCTGTTTGCACAAAATTATGCAGCAATTATGACAAAACAAATTCATTCCAGATTCTGCTGATTACCATGGTAACCCACATTCAAAATAGCAGTATAAAGCCACTTAGCATAAGAAAAAAAAGGGTTTCATCCGTTATTAACTGATGCATACTATAGATTTTGATAAAGAAATCCTTAAAATGGAGGTGCTTCCCTTTTTAGTTGCAGTCGTGGTGTAGTGCTGTGAATCCTCCTATGCCAAGGCGAGGACTGATCTTGCTGAGCGGCTCTATTGCAGAAGAGCTAACCTTTTGCTTTGCATAACGCGTGATATGTATTTTTGACTTTTCTGAGTAACAGCAATTAGTAAGGGAGGACAAGTGGCTGTTAGAGGCAGAATTCCCAGGTTAGCAAAGTAGCCTATTTTTAGGTGCATCTTGAAGTCACAGCGATTAAGTTCTATGCAGTGCTTCCTGTAGCTCCACTTTATAGCTTTGGGCTTGGAGAAACTTGAGCTATATGCTCAACTGAGCTAAAAGGATCTCATGCAGATGTAATCTTTGAGGGTTTGACAACTCCAAGAATTTAGGAGTCGAGAGTATTGACTCTCAGAAATAAAGCTGACTTCAGTTGTTTTCAAAATAGCTGGTTTGGATTTACTTTATGCCTGTGCATATGGTGTATATTTGTTTTAAAGTGGTTTGCAGCTGTGATTTTTTTTGAAGGCAGTTTTCCCCAATGGTTTTGGCTGGAAGCTTTTGAATTAAAACTGAGATTTTTATTTATTTATTATATTCTTCTTTCTCCAGAAATTGAAGTGTTCAGGAAAGCATTTGAGGTTATAGCACTCATGGTAAAACTGAAAGACTTTCTCATCCTGTACAAATTTACTCATTGGTGTAAAAATACGAGCTTTCTCCTATGAGTCATCCCCAGCATAGCTGCAGAGAAAGGTATCAGGGCATCCTGATAATGCCTTGCTGGCTTTTTGATCAAGAGCCTGAGCCTAGCTTACACAGACCCAACAGAGAATGATGTCTGCAGGTGGATGGTAGGGGCAGCTCTGATGTGAAAGGGGCTCTGGGGATGCCACCGCAGCTGGTGATGCAGAAAACTTGTTTCCGTGCTTTATGGTGGGTCCCAAGTCTGTGTAATGGAGAGGCAGGCAGGGAATGGGGAGAGGTTGGTAGCATTGAACCTGTAAATAAACAAGGCTTTCGTGCTGTAAAGCTACTAGAGTCTTCCCTGGCAAAAAAAGAAAAAAACAACCCAGCTGTAACAGATGTGGCTCTTCAAAAGCATGGAAGTGATAGAAGTGTTAGTGCTGGGGATGTCCCATGAGCCAGAGGAGGGTGTGTGGGGAGGCCTGGGTGGCAGGCTGCAGGAAGCCAGGTCGGTCAGAACAGAAAATCTGAGCCCTGGGAGCTGAATGCAGCAGAATTACCCAGCGCTTTAAAACAGATGGTGAATAACTTAATTGTTTAGCAGGAGGAGAATGGGAAGGATATTATTTCACTGATGACTACAGGAGATGAATTTAGTGGGTGCAAACTTGTGTGGTTTTATTTATCTGTTTGTTTGTGATCAGTGAAGCGTAACAGGGTTGCATTCTTTCTTTCATGGCTTCCAATTATTTACTTGCCAGTACGTTCACCCGCCGTACAGAGGGTGGGTTTATGCACAGTTCTGTTTGAGGCATTGGATGCCCAGAAAATGCTTGGCAAGGTTGAAATGTAGTTGTAAGAATATAGTCTGTGAAGCCTTTGAAAATTCACTTTTGCATCACGTCTCTGAGCCAAGATGCAGAACTGAAACTCAAGTTCATGGTATGTTTTCACTGTGCCTAAAACACTGATGTGGAAGCTGGCTCTTCTGTATTTCCTATCTTATCTAAAAATACATGGTGCTCCTCTTAGGAAGAGATTCTTGAAATACTTCCCTTCCTTTGATTTGCTTAATGAAGAATACAGGGCAAGCATAAAGCTGGTTTTGCCGTGATACACTTACTATGGTTCCATTTCCTCATTCTGTAAGGTTATTTTAAGTGATTTGCATTGCTTTGTAACAGCAGAAGCAAGATAGCAATTTAGTGTTCCACAAAGACTACAGCTTTTCATTTTTTGGGTTACTTGATCACATCCAGCCTAGGCTGGTAATCATGTTTGTCTTACTCAGGGATATATTCAGTGGCCTAACAGAAATGCTGAAATTCAGAGTCCAGCTCTCTAGCATTAATTGACACTTGCTTCAGGTGTCAGACTTCAAGTCTCGGTAAAGGCCAAAGATGAGCTGATTTGAAAGAAGTTGACATGGAATGCATGAAGTGCCACAAATGGCCATAATGTGCTTATTCCATTCATTAAATGTATTTAAGGGGCTTATTAAAGTGTTGCCTGTATTATAAATTACCTGTGGAAATTATACTGACATCTGACAATACTTCTGGGCTGTCTGCTATATGTCTGTGGTTGGCAAACTATACCTGTGAGTTTTCATGGAATCACAGAATGGTTTGGGTTGGAAAGGACCTTAAAGACCAACTCCCCTGACACAGGCAGGGATGCCTTCCACTAGATCAGGCTCCTCCAGGGCCCATCCAACCTGGCCTTGAACAGTTCCAGGGATGGGGCAGCCACAGCTTTTCCTGGAAATAGCTTCTCACTTTCTTAAAACTGATGGTTTAGACTGCATGGTGGACATTAGAAGGATAGAAAAAAGTTTTGAGAGCTAATGTCTGTTAATGCTCAGAGGGGAGAGAAAATATTGTCTGCAGGTAGAGGGAATATTCTTATACCCTACATCACTGCTCATTTAAGGTGAAGGCATTCAAATGTCTGTTTTACAATCTGCATAGAATTTGAGACATTTGGTATTTTAAGAAAATGTTCTCATGAATGTATCAGACCCATCAAGCTTCACCTATTGAGCTAGATAGTCACAGTTCAGAGCGTAATTCAGCTCACTGCTATTCCTTTGTCACCTATGCCCTTACCACCTACTTTCCCACCCCCAAGATTTAGGTGGGTTCTTCAAAAGATGAATAAAACCAAATTAGTTGCACAAAGAAGAATACAGGCTTTCAAATTCAGTGGGGAGAGCAGGCGCACATGTGTGTGGGAAGGAATGAGTCCACTGACAAAAGAAGCTATTAAATCCTTAATGCTTGCTTCCTGCTACTATGAAAAGTATTGAAGACATTTAATAAAAAGTCTTTTATTTAATTTCCATGACTAAGTCTGTAAGGCTGCTATACTGATCTTGGGTTACATTCATCAGCTATAAGGTGCTGTGTATTAATATAATAATTAATAATAATTAATCCTGAAGGACCTTTCCCTGTTCTGAAAGTAGTGGTGGTTGGCTATCTCACTGTTGTAATCTGTGCCTGCATAGGGTTTTAGTTATAGAATCATGGCATGGCTTGGGTTCAAAGGGACCTTAATGATCATTCAGTTCCACCCCCCTGCCAGGGGCAGGGATACTTTCCACTAGAGCAGGTTGCTCAAAGTCCCATCCATCCTGGCCTTGAAGACTGTCAGGATGGGGCAAATTATAATTTTTTCACCTTGCTGCTTCCTGTACATCTGCAAAGCAATTACATTTATTACCTTCAACAAGTGTAGCAGGGCCTGCCCTGTGCAGCAAGAAGATGCATAAATGATACACCCTGGAACAGTGAAGCAGCACTGGTGTGCCTCTTCCTGTATCCAGGCAGCTAGCAAAAGTAGAAGCAGTAGCAAGTTATGTTGATAAGTAGCTGTGGAGGGATTTATGGAGATTCAACTGTGTTGGAATACTAATACAGAAATACAGGGAACATCGCACACAAAGGCAGCTGAAGAAGCAGGAAAATGCTGATTCAGTGTTCTCTCATCATATATTTGTTGCTTTTGTGCTCAAAGCCATGCAGTTCTTCAGTTTTTGTTTCAATCAGTTCACCTCTCTGGTTAGTCACAGGAGTAAGCAGTGGGCTCTTCTACATCTTTTCATTAGGCTGGAAATATTTTTCATGGTGGTCCTTCCCTGATTCTTTTCCTTGTAATGCATATGAATTTAGTGATTTCTGCTTGATGATTTTTGGTCAGGGATGATAGCTGCATCCCCCCCTATCACTTCCCTCTGCCTGTTACTTCCACAGTGCCTGGCTTCCACCCCACCCAGATCTAGGCTGGAACCTATTGCTGAATTTCAGTCCAAGCTGAGTGGGAAGGAAAAGGAATTCAGTTTGCACTGGGGAGAGATGCTGTATTGTTGAGAAGGGGGCGAAGCAACGTGTAGAGTGGTGTGGAACTGGGGTGAGCATAGAGGTCCCTTCAGCTGGACGGCCCACTTTCACATGTGATACAAGATCAAGCTGTCAGGAGTTGATGGAGATGAGTCATAGCTAAAGATTCTGAATCTTCCAGCAGAACAGTTTTCTGAGAAATAGAGTCAGTCTGAAATGGATGATCAGAAAGACCACTGGGTTTGCTGGATGCAAGACAGGGTAGCTTTTGGGTGGGCTGCTCCTGAGACAGGTATCTGATAATTTCAGGCCACGTGTAGACTTGTAGTGATCACTGTAGCCTGTATTGCATCATGGTCCCCAGATGTCCAGATTAAAAGTGGTCAGAGTGAGCGATGGCTGCTGTGCCCAGGAAGCGGAGCAGCTGGGGAGGAAGAGATAGGGAGACTGGTGATGTCTGGGTGGGTTTCATTTTGATGTGAATTTGACCTGAGGGTAGGAAACGCAGCTGGGACCAGGAACTGGGAAGTGCTTTCTTGTCCTGCAGAACAGCCACAGTCCTAGAGCTTCCGCAGGAGGATCATTGCATGGCTGGGGACTTGGTGCGGCCATGGTCCCTTCATGAGGCTAGCTGTTCCCTTCCATGATTGTGTTTTGACCCAAGATAAGCAAATGTGGAGTCTCAGCAGGTCAGGCACCACATATTGAACCACACCGTGGCTACCCTGGGTGGACCTCAGGTCCAGGAGCACTGCCTGTGGGAACCAGAGACCATGGGAGTCCAGACCTGCATCCAGTAAAACTGGTGGGCTGTTCTGTTTCTTGGTGATTAACCTCTGGAGCAAAGGGCAGCTATAGACTGTTCTTTGCTTGATGTCTTCAAGTTTAGAGCACATTCTTTCCTGGGAAGTCATGGTCATCCACTCTAAATTATTTTTCGTAACACAAATTTGTATCTCTCAGTTAAGGGCTGTGGTATGTAGGTGAAACTCTTGGGTCTGTGACTTACCAGAGGTCAAACTTGATCACTGCCTACTCTGAACTTCTGAACAAGTCCTGCTTCCTGGGTGAAACAGCCCTTGGGTACAGCAGTGTACCAATACTGTTTGTAACTTGCCCATGTTTCCAGGTTCGCGCTCCAAATGTGAAGCAGCTACATTCACTGATGCAGTTCCAAGGAGAATTTGAATGATAAAATACTAAAACCAAAACATGGGGTTTTCCTGTCCAAATTTGCTCCATGTCCAGCCAATCTACTTTAGTCAAAGTCAGCAGACTTCAGAGTATCCCAGTACCAGCTGGGTTTAGAAAACCATCCTAGAACCATAGGTTTCTGAGGGCCCAGTTTCTGACTGTACAAGTCATGTTGGATATTAATGAAAGCTCCTCATACATACGCTCCATCTGCAGAACACTACTCAGTAATTTTATTCTGCTATTTTTATTCAGCTGAACCAAGAGATAGCAGCAATATTCCCTACTAAGACATTTGATGTGTTTTTCTTTAGTATGAGTTCTAATAGCAGTAGTGAGTGTTCAAATCATCATTTTATTTTCAGGCTGAACGGGAGTAAAACCAGTTTTTCATTACTGCACACCAGTGTGTCTGAAAATAAAGCTTATAAGTTTCTGGTCTAGACTTAAAAGTGTGGTTTCCTTTAACTGCACAGGGGACAGTGTTGTAGAACGTAATAATCACCATAGTTGAATAGAGTGAATATAAGTCTAATCTAGTATTCTGTCCATCACAGCAGCTAATAGGAGATATTTTTGGAAAATAAAATGCAGTGGAAAACACATGTACAATAAGCTGTCAACAGTATTAGGTCTTTTCCTGAGCCTGTCCCTGCCAAGGGATCAAGGCTGGAAGCAAAGCTTGACTATATCCCTTCAAATTTTGCTAAGCTGAATGTGTAGACCTACAATGGTTGTAATATTCAAATAAATGTCCAATCCTTTTTTTAAGGATAAGCTCACAGGTTTTTGGTTCTATCATTTATTTTAATAGAGTCTGGTATTCTTCTACAGTTGTGATAAATATGCCCTTCTATGAATACTGATTTTTATCACCTTTTAATTCTCTGCTCCCTCATCTGGATATTGAATTAAATTCTGAGAACATGGGGTTCCGATCTGCTTCTCTATTGCTCATAATGATTATAGGCAGGAATGGCAGAGCTGCTGTTATTATTCTCAACACTTCCAATTATAATATTCTGTTTTCTGCTTGTAGCTCTGTCAAGCTTAGCTGTTCAAGCTGAATTTTTCCATGCTCGCTCTCAAATTAACTTCATTTCATGTGAGAACATCACTATTGTAATGAAGAGTTGTTTTGGTTTTTTTTGGACCATAGCAAATATTAGAGCCTAAATATTGATCCTTTTTCCATTTATTCCTACTTTTTTTTTCTCTGTCTCATAGACAGTTTTAGATCTGAGACAGAACTTTCCTCTCAGCAGTCTGTTTAGAGTTTGGTTTTTTTTTTTTTTTAAAGTAGTCTCTGTAAGGATGCTGTCAAAGGCTGGAATAAACTAATCATTCTGTTTGGGGTTTTTATGCATGATTTGGGTTTGAGAGATTAGGGAAAATACATGTCTAGCAACTGCATGGAAGAGGGGAAAAAATCAGTATTCGTGTGAAATTACCTGATATCATCAAGCTTCTGAACTATACCTGAGCTTTCACAGAACAACCTCCTAACATCATGTGCATTGGTGCATCACTTCAACCTGTGAATTTTAAAGGTTTACTGATGGGTTCAAACATCTTAGCCTAAAAGCTGAGGAACAGATTCCATTCTATGTTATTTTAATAGCTTTTCATTCATTGAGCCCCATATGTAAAACACATAGGGCTTTTTACACCTGCAACAGGAAGATGAGCTCTGCTGCTGCAAGGATTTTTATAATTATGATTGTTCTCTCTTGTAAGGAAAAGGCAGAAGGTATTTTTAGTCATTTCTTAACTGCCTCAGATTTGTGAAAGGACTCATACAGTGCTGCTGGCGTGTGGAGTATTTTGAGATGCTGAATGAATTAAGTGAGATTTGCAGGTGTTTATCACCCTGAGGCAACCACAGATAACTGAATTCATCCCATATTCCCACCTTACTTTGCTGGGGGTTGGTGGTGCCCAGGGATCCCTGAAATCTTGTCCTGTGCCAAGTCACGGCTGAACCTGGATCTGCTGGTGCAGACCCCACGTAGCATGAAGTGCTTGTGCAGTGAGAGTGTACTGTGGAAGGAAGAAGGACAACATTCTGGGGGCTTGGTGTCTGTTTTGAGCCATCCTACCTAGCACATAGTGGCTCTTGGCAAGCTTGAATAAGTCCTCCTACAGGAAATGGTGCTGTTTCTTTCCTTGAAGAAGGAGGAAGAATTGCCAGTGGAAGAGAGTGAACCTCTCAAATGGAGATGCATTAGAAATATGTTTTAGGAGAGTCTCATAATGATGATGAGCAATGATCATCTTCAGAATTTTTTACACAGATTTCATGTTCTGCTTCTGGATGGTGAGAGTAGCATGAAGTCATGGTTTCATCAGATCAGAACATGTCTCCCAGAGGCTTTACAGGCAAGAACTCACACAAATATACACAGCCAAATCCTTGACTCTTTGTTTTTCTCATGACTAAATATTTAAAGAACTCAGGTTGGGTAAGTGGTTCCTCATTCATTGATCTGTTGTTTCTGGATCAGTTTCTCCACTTGGATGGTTTCATAGAAATCTACTGAAATGAACTGAAGACTTTCCTATAGTCCCTTGCCATGAACTTGCAAGTGCTGTGTTGCAATATAAGGTAATTGGATTATAAATCATACAAAAATGCAATAAAATCAACAGGCTAATCAATCCATCCCTGTAAAATCCCAAGGAGAAGCAGCAGACTATAGATGTTTGCGTCGCATTTGCCTAGTTTTATTTATTTCTTCCTTCAGCCTCTTAACAACAAATTCTTCTTAGCACTAGGACTTAAAAACTTAGAAATTGTCTGATTCCTTTTAAGACACCCTTTGTCTTCTTAATACACTCTAAGACACCCTAAATACAAAATAGAAAATGTTGTTTTACTAGTTTATCTAAAGGAAAAAGTCTCCAGTGAGATTGTGTTCTTAACAGATGCTGGCATTTTGTTTTAGCTAGCAGGGTCATCTTTGCCCAGCTCTGACTGCTCAGTCAAGGCTCTGTTTTCTCTAAAAAACTAAGTTCTCTTTACAACCTGATAGTTGTAATTTATAAAAAATATATTTTGAGTAACCTTTTTATGAATATTTACTTATAAAACTACAAATATTTGAATGCATCTGGGAAGCTAACACTGACCAGGAGCTTTCTGGCCTCTATGGCTTTTATGAGATTGGAAGATCTTTCTGCTTATGGCTGTCTACTCCTGTGACGTCCTCCATCTTGCGAGTTTGGGATTTTGATGAACTCATTTAGGATAGCAGTGTATTACTATCACCAGCTTATATGCTCTTTTGTTATAATGGGTATCAGATGATGCTGAAGATCTGGAGATGATCCATATGCAGAGTGCATAACCTTAAACAGCTGTGGTTCGATTTGATGTACCTGGCATTCCTGGCCACTACGGCCTTATGCTTGCAGAGCTCCTTCCTCCATTGCAGGCTCCTTGCAGCTTTTCTCTGATCAGCCCCAGGTCGATATCATTGCTCTGGTACGTGTGTCTGTGTGTATTTCAGAACTGATGAGGCTTTCCAGAATGCAGTGGTGACTTTCACTGCCTGGGTAAAATAGCACCAGCTTCCCATAAGCTTTGTAATTGGCTGTTGGTGATACTTCCCCATCATTTCATCAGTTACAGTCTAAAGTGATATACAGAAGCACTCCACATCAGCACTTTCAGCAGTTAAGGAGATTGATTAACATTCATAAGAAAAGAATAGGAGCTTAAAATAAGAAATGAAACAAATGCTTAATCCTTTGGCCTAGATGGTTTTTGGCCTGAAGATAAAAATCTTCTCTAAAACCAGAAATCCCTATATTCACTCCAACAAATAAATATGATGCAGTTCCAGCCATAAGACCACTCTGTCTTTTTGGTTGGTACCTCTAGCATGACTTGATGTTTTGGACCTTCAGCCGGTAGCAGCCTGGTGGATGCTGAGAGCTACTGATCAATGGAAGTTTTGCTGGAGGGAGATCTCTGTGCATTCAGTGCCTGTGAATATGACCATGACTGCTCAACTGTTCCCATGTCAGTGTAGATACTTTACTTCAAGTTCCAAGTCTTTAAAAGGGAGACCTGTGTTAATACAGTGATATGGCTCTGGGCTGTGTCTTGCAACATTTTGCAGGTAATTCTGGATTTGCTTTGCTTGATGCTGTGCAGAAGTGGAAGCCACAATTAAAGCTGGCTTGAGTTATTAAAACCTCAGAACACATTGATACCTGCCTCAGGAGGTGGAGATAATCTACTCCTCTTTATCAAAACCACCCCGGAAGGCCATAGCTATGGTTCCTGAGTTCTCCACAGCTCAGCTACTTGCAAATCTCTGTAGTGCCTGTAGGAAAGAGAAATTTCACAACTAGTTAAATATAGAGGATACCTACAAATGTAGCCCAGTTACCTCTCTTATTGTAGGTGCTTGAAACCAAGGGAAAGTGACAATGAAGTCTTCACACTCTCTTTAATTATAGCAGCCTTTATATAACAGTGTCAGATAAATGTGTTTTAGGATAGGTGGCACCTCACTTCCTCCAGAAGAACTGTCAAAATAGACCCTACCAGACTAATTTATTACTTGTAATCCAAAGCATTAAAGCATGCCATCCAATAGGGTGGTTTTTTTAATAAAACCTTTAAATGTACAGAATTCTCTGTGCCACGACATATCCCAAACAGCACAACACTTCTTTGTTTTGAAATGTAAATACATCCTTATTCATCTGATAGCTTCAAGGACTGCCAAGTACTACAAATGTCATCCAGTTATCATTGCTTGTGAGGTGCTGGAAAACAGGGTTAGTGTGGATCTCAAGAGGTTATCTTATTCATACCTCCATCCCAAGGCAGAAGCTGTTGTTACTGAACCAGATGCTTATCTAATCTCTGTTATAAAACAGAAGAGGAAAGAGAGAGAGAAAGAAATTGCTTTAGAGGGAAAAGGGGTAAGCAATTGGGCTGTGCCAAATAACTTAGAAAAGTGAGGAACTGGACTCCTTCCAACTGGTGGAAGCAAGTTCTGCCTTAGGTGGATTGCTGGAGAATGCTGACAGTCCTTTTCCTTTATTCTAATGAAATACAAACTTGGGATGTTTTGCTGATTTCAGCAAGAGCAGCATCATATGGGGGAGAACAATTTTCTTCAACAGGTCCCAGAATTCTGACAATGAAAGATCAAAACCAATGCTTATGTTTCATATGAAGCATGCTGATGAAGACTGTGGGTCTGGGAGTCTGCTGTGTGCATAAAAGTGGTATAAAAAGTGGGTTCATATCCAAATGTGCTATTAGTGTAACCACTAATGCGTTGTGTTAAGATGCCCTTGCCTGCTGCAGGGAGGCTGTCTCATTCCCTGAAGTAATGTTACGAGTCCAGGATCGTAACCTTCCTCTCAGAGCAGAGAGCCCATAAAGAACTTCTGACCACCTTCACTGAGTTGCTGTTGGGATTTTGTTGCTTCAGTGTTAATATTCCTGTTGATCCTTCTCTCCTCCGCAGTAGCAGCAGAAGAGGCACTGAGGCCTGCAGTCCTGCTGCATGACTTGCACTGAGTTAGTAACAGCGAAATCCCAGGTGAAAGTGAAATTTGTTAAAAGTGCAAAAAAGAGAGAACTTGCTGACTTACATTCTGGCTTTGCGCACTGCAGTGCTGAGGCATTTACTTGACTTGGCAATCTAGTTACTGTGCATTTATTCAAATAGCACTTTAGTGTGTTTATGCAAATAGATCATTGCTACATCTCCTAAAAGAACCATACAAGTGCTGTCATTTGATTGTGTAATGTTTAGATTGGGCTTTAAATAAAATTTCCTATGGTTCTGTACAAAATTCATGCCCCTTGAAAAACATCATTCTCACATTTGGATAGGTCAGAAATGACTAAATAATTGATATTCCGGAATATAGGGATGCATGTTTTAAAGATGCTTCCTTTGTACTTCAGAGAGGGTTGACTCTAAAAAAAAAATAAGAACATGGATAATCTCTAGTGGGACTGAACTATTTGGAAGAAGCTAAGTACTTCAGAGCTCTCTGGGATGCTCAAAGCATTCTGATTTCCAAACCGTTCTCTTCCCCTCACCCCCAACCTAAAAGGGTGCAGTAAAGCATTTATTTGAGGCCAGAAGAAACCAGCTAGTCTGAGTTACATCCCCAGTGACTTACCAGTTGTTGGAAGTCTTAGAAGACTCTTTCCAAATGCTGATTATTATTGTAGGTAGCCACGTGGAAACAGCAGCCATGGGTAGTGCTATCTTAAGGTAAATGCTTGCAGGATCATTCTTCAATGCCCAAATTAAAAAGAAAGCACAGAAAACCAGCTTCCTCCATGTAACATGTCTGAGACCAAAGATTTTCAGGCAGCTGTGGTAATGCTACTGAATATATTTGCCTGTGCAGGGATGCTCAGTGCACAGGTGATATTTGGGTTCCCTGATTAACCTTGCTTTCAAAGCAGGGGGTGCCATTAATAGGGAATGGAGATACTGACTTTCTCTTCATTAAATCACTTTCACCTTGGCTGATGCTGAGTATGGGAAGGGAATAAGACTGACTTATCTGCTAGCTGTTGTTTCCCATTCTGCTCTGGGTCTACCACACTGTTTTGGCAAGCATTTAGCTTCAGACTTCTTATGAAGCCTATAAAAAGTCCTGAGAAGGAGGAGGCTTCTAATATATTTCATATCCTTTAAGGTAATTCCAAATGATAGAATCATATCATAAATGAATAATGCAAACAAAATGTATATTGCAGCAATGGACACCATTAAAAAAACAAAACAAAACCAAACGACGACAACAACAACAACAAAAAACAACACAAAACCCCCGAAACAAACAAAACCCCACAAAAACCCACGTTTTTTAAAGGGTTAGAACTTAAAAAGACTCAGTTTGTCTGATTTCTGCATTCATGTTTTCGCCACATCTCTCACAGCTGTGCATGGTACCCACACAAACCAATGGGGTTTTGGATGCTGGTTGCTTTGGTGTTAGCCACATACCCACTGAAGGTGACAGTTACCAGAATGTGGTATCTCTGTGGCCTGAGGCAATTAGAACTACCTTCCTAGCAGCATCAGATCATCTGTATTCTCTTTTGGAAGCAGGCTGGGGATGGTTTTGATCTCTCAAAACTTTCAGTTAACGTGTGACCCTTATTTTTCATTGCAGGGGATTTTTGTTGTTCTTTTGAACCACTCCTCCGGAAGCTCACCAAAAAAAGATTAAGTTTTTACTCTTTCTCATATTGTACTCTCTCCATGTTGCCTGTGCTAAGCTATTCTGTAAGTGGAAAACAAAGAGATTTTTCTGGAAGCCAACAGATGACCACTTGTGTATCTGTGGTAACGCAGTATTCCTCACTGTAAAAGCATAACATGCTTTCACTGAATAATACCTGGTAGTCATAATAGAAATGCCTGTGTTACAGGTAAGACTGGAATAGCAATGGCCTGGCAATAAGATTAATTTTGAGGTATTTTCCTTCTCCTGTGTATCCTCCCCTTGTTTCCTGTTTCCGAGCTCCATCCAAGTCTTCTGTTCCTTCAGTATATTTTGGGAGCCTGATTATTTTTCAGACAATTTCCAAAGAGCCGGATGTCTTCTTCTCTTGCTTTGGTGTGCTACCTCTGTTGGTTTCTGTTGCATGTTTCCTGGATAAATTGCTTCATATTTGAAATAGTCTTTGATTTAGAGTTCCTCAAAATTACAGGTATTTGTATATTTGCATTTTAGGTGCATGGCTGGGGAAAACAACTTAAAATTACAGGGGCTCCTGGATATTTTTTGCCTCTTCTAATAATTTTCTTCAATTTAGATCATGAAAACGAGCACGGGATGTGTAAGTTTTGGCTGACAGAGGTTAGCTCTGTTGCAGGGGGATGCACTTCAGGTCTCCTCCTGGTGGTCAGGAAGGAGGACAGGACCCAGTGACAGGACCCAGTGCTGGTACTGGGGGTCAGCACTGCCATGCTGACCACCCCGAGCACTGCATTTTAGGCACTTAAGCTAAATGCTTGAAGTAGGTTGTGTGACTGTCCCTTACATTTATATCTTTTTCAAGTACAATCCCTGTGTAATGAGCTGTGTGTATTTTTATAGCAACTTTTAGGAGCCTTTCAAGTTGAGTCATTAAATACGTATTTTTAATAACCTCCAGGTCTTAAAAGGCCAGTGTGAAATGGAAGTACTGGAAATCAAATAGTGATACCCTTGACTTGTGAATTAAATTACTTCATTACAAATTTATGTGAGGTTCAGTCACTTTTTCTTCTTGCAATTTCATGCCCTTTTCTTTTTATTTTTAATCAACAAATGATTCCGATGTTGCATTTAGAAATCCTTCTTAAATTTTAATAATCTCCCACCAACAATGTGTTTATTTCTTTAAATTTGTAACATCACGGATCTTCAAGCTGGGAAGGGGAACTGCTCCGTAGCACAGGCCCTAAAAACGGATCCATTAACTCATGTAGAGAGAGTTTAAAGACAATCTTAGAAGCTGAAATCTCCTCCATCTGAACCGTCTTCTCAAACCACCATGATGTGCCCAAAATCATGCTGGCTGTGTCCTCCAGCCCTGTAGTAACTGGAAGGATAACCCTCCAGAGAAGTGCTGCTCAGTCTCTGGGGCTGTTCCACACTTGGTGGAGGTGGCCAGGAAGGAGCAAGTTAGTGTCAATCATTGAAATAGTTTCTGTCATCTGAACAACTGTTCTACCAGGAGCAGTTTGACAGAAGTGCTGTCCTGTTTGAAACAGACTACTTGAAAGCCATCAGAGGTTCATTAACTGCTTGTTGTGTTTTGTTTGTTGGTTTAACTTTGGCAATGAGCTCACTGCATGGGGACAGAGACAATCGTGCTGTTCCTTGGAAGATCTCACAGTCTGAGTACTCGGTTATGAAAAACAGAACCAACCAAAACACTTCAACACTGAAAAGCATTGACCCAAACTTTCATTGAATCACAGAATGGTTTGGGTTGGAAGGGTCCTTAAAGATCATACACTTCCAATCCCCCTGCCTTCCACTAGACCAGGTTGCTCCAAGCCCTGTCCAGCCTGGCCTTGAACACTGCCAGGGATGGGGCAGCCACAGCTTCTCTGGGTAACCTGTGCCAGTGCCTCAGCACCCACCTGTCTAATGTAAATCTCCCCTCTCTGTTTAAAGCCATTGACCCTTATCCTATCCCTACTTGCCCTTGTAAAAAGCCCCTTTCCAGCCCCTTTGGGCACTGGAAGCTGCTCTAAGGTCTCCCTGGAGCTTTCTCTTCTCCAGGCTGAACAGGCCCAGCTCTCTCAGCCTGAAACCACAGGGGAGGTGCTCGAGCCCTCTCTGAGCATCTTCGTGGCTTCTTCTGGACTTGTTCCAACAGTTCCATGTCCTTCTTATGTTGGGGGCTCAAGAGCTGGACACAGCACTGCAAGTGGAGTCTCACAGGAGCAGAGCAGAGGGGCAGAATCACCTCCCTTCACCAGCTTGTCTCTTGTTCATCAGTGGGAGTGCTTTCTCTATATGTAGTTACATAAGCTCTTGCAAGCCAGGAGGTTATATGGATAGAAGCAAAGAACATCAACAGCATAGAAGTAGTGAACTGGGAATAAGACCACAGCTCTGTGTATCTTTGATTAAATGTGTAAGAAATTGTGAATATGGGAAGAATAACACCTTTGGCTTTGTTATACACGTCTGTTGAATGCTTCCCAAGTGACTAGTAGTAACTTCGCAGAACTAAATTAAGCCTTTGGAAGGTACAGTAGATGAAGCAAGTGGAAAAGACAAATAGAAGTGTTTGTGAACACTGAGATGCTGTGTCAGATTGCACTGAAGATGAGATTTAAAATAGGAAGTAAATTGTGAATTATTTCTCTGTAATTCTTCATTATTGATGTACTTCTTTATCATGTAGGTCTATTCTCTAGTGTCACGCTTACTGCAAGGAGAAACATTCAGTGATGAAGTGTATAAGATGGGAAATCAAGAGACATAGACACGGAGGGCCAGCTTTGCAGTTTCCTCACTGCGTGACTGTCTCTGTTAGTCAGCTTCTCTGGACGTGGTTTCTCCACCTGTGGAACGAGCTTTGCCTGTCTGTCAGCGCTGCGTACTGTGAGGTACAGCATATGTGTGTGGAACCAGAAACCTCAGTCTTAAAGCTTGAGCAGGATGCATTTTAGAAATTTGCTTTTTAATTTAGTTGCAAATAAGGTTCAAACTTACAGTCTTTTCATTTTCAGTCTTTCGTTTGCTCGCTTCCAGACCTTGGGGATGGGGAAAGGGTGGTGTGGGGGTTTCTCCTAAATAATGAACTGCTGTTCTCTGGGTGAGAACAGCACCTCGTGGTGAAGCGACAGTTGGAAAGAAGGAAGGAAAAAAGGAAGGAAACAAGAAGGGAAGGAAGGAAAGGAAAAAGAAAAGGAAAACATGCCGCTTTATTTGCGTCCCCCTCGGCTCCTCCTCGGGCGGCCTGGCAGCAGGTAGCCCAGCTCCGCCGGTAGTTTTTCAGCACCCTGAGGGAGCCGGCAGGGGGCAGCCCCGCGCGGCGGCCGCAGAGGAGCGTCGCAGCCAATGGTGGCGCGGCGGTGGCACGTCGCAGCCAATGGTGGCGCGGCGGTGGCACGTCGTAGCCAATGGTGCGCGGCGGCGCGGGGAGAGGGCTGCGCCGGGCGGGAAGGCGGTGGGAGGGGGGGCGCTGCGGGGTGGTGTGGCGCCGGCAGGGGCACCTGCGGCGGCGGTGGGCGCGGGAGGCGGCGCCGCGCGGCTGGGGTGTCCGCAGCGCTGAGAGGGCAGGCTCGGCCCCGCCGCTGCCGCACAGGCCTCTGCCGCTCGGCGCCTCGCAGCGCCGGTTCTGCACCCAGAGAGGCGTCCGGCGTTTAGCGGACCTCCATGTACGACAATTTGTACCTGCATGGATTTGAAGACTCGGAGGCGGTGAGTGCCGCCGCCGGGGCGGGGATCCCGAGGGGAGCAAACCCACACACCCCCCTCCTGGCTTTGCAACCGGAGGTGCCGGTCGGAGCCAACCGAAATGCTCCTCTGTTACGTAATTTGTGGGGGTGCAGCCGTGTTTCGGGGTCCTGGGGGAGCTTGTTGCCGGTCACCGTGGTTGCGCTTCCGCAGCCACGGACAGCGCCGGGTCCTGCCCCGCGGAGGGAGGTTTATAAGAGCTCCGCGGGGAGAGCCGCTGATGAACCCCGCGCTCGGTGCGTGTGCGGCACAACAGCAGCCGAAGTTGCTCGGCTGCCATCTGCATGGTGCGGGTCCTGGACAGCCGGTCACCGCGGGCGCCTTCCGAGTAGAGTCACGAAGCGGCGGAGCCTCCGAGGCACCACCGGCGCAGCAGTGCCTGTGTCGCCCAAAAGAAGCCGGGACAGGCTGGCATCGATCGTTGAGAAATCATTTCCCCACTATCTCCCCCCCCGCCTCGCTCCAGCCTGAACAGCCTCGCTGGGGAGCCTGTGACATCCCTCACAAAATGGTTCTTTTGCAGCGCGGAGGCCCCGTTACCGCGGTCGGGGCGCGACGCCCCAAATAAGAACGGATGGCGGCAGTTGCCCAAGTGGGCTTTCTTTCCAGCGGTAGCTGCGCAGGAGCCCGGCGGGGCAGAATTGCTCGGGGCAAGGGAAACTGCTGGGATTGCCGCGGCGAGAAACATGCTGTTCCATATTAAACAGGGGTCTGTTACATAAGGTGGTGTGGCCAGCTCGTAAAATACACAGATTATAACATAAAACAGTGTGCGTCAGTGCAGACGTATGTATTGTATGATACGGTATCCCCAAGCAGGATGGACAAGCTCCCATGTCTCTTCAGATGAGCCTTTTTTTCCTTGCCTAACAATAAGGTCATGCCAGTCTGGGACTGGGAACTGTAATCTGTCAATGTGTTGCCTCACATACTAGCAACTTGTTTTGGCATCCGTTGATTTTGGAGGGAGAGGAATCACAACTCTGCAGAATTGAATTAATGCAGTGCCTCGTGCTGAGAGGAATCCCTGTGTTTTTGAATTCTTCAGTACTACGTGTTTGACTTTCAAAACTGTGCTTCTTTGGGTCAGTTTAGAAATTCCTGCCTTTTTTGCATATGTATTTTAATTTGTTTTGTGTTTTCTCTTGCTGCTGCTTACAAGTTGCCATGCCAAGTGGATATGAGGGTGTTGGTTCCTTTAGGGATGTGCTTTAGGATCAAGCTGGATCTTTCTGTATGTAAACCAGGTATTTGTAAGGCAAAGCGTGAATTTTGGGGAACTGTTCACAGTGCTGAAGCTGTCTTGTGCTGGTCTTCCAGTGGAGTATAAATAAGCTTTTAAAAAGACAGAAGTATAGTAGCATGGCTAAGAAGGCTAACTTGCTATGTAGTGGTTGTTGAAGAAATGTTTTACCTGTACAAGACAGATTTTAAAGTTTACTAGAAAATGCAGGTAAATGTCTAGTTGGATTCAAGGGTGCTTCTGAGATGCTTAACTCCATGTGTTCCTGTGAAGCCCACTGATTTTCAAGAAGATTATTTGGGAAAAACAGTTTTAATGACAGCAGGAGAGCAGAAACCTTCCTGTTTAACAAACATCTGTATTAGGGTTTGTACTGTAAGAATCATGTTAGTAACAAAGAGAAGACCTAGGTCTTTAGCTGTCCACTTTGAAGGGCTGGGATAAAGAAGTCATTTCCAGGTTCCTTAACACCCTCTTAACTAGTTCATGATAACGCTGTTTACAGCTCTTGTAATTTTACAATCTCTCATTACTTGAGATAGTTTTTGATAGATCTAACTTCCAGAATTGTGGGAATATGTGAGAATCTCAGCTTTCATTAACAAAAAAATTAAAAAAAAACAACCCCCAAACCCATCAAACCCTAAAAGCAGTCTAGATCCCATAGTCATAGGGAAGAGTTAGAGGCTGTAAAGCCAAAGCCTCAGACACAAAGTAGGTAAAATTCCCCAAGTGTGTTCACTTTATGCTCCTGAATCACTTGATTAAAACATTACACCTTATTATTATTTTGGATTCTGACTCATGAATTGAGTATGCCTGCTGAGACAATATTCTGGCAAACAGGTAGTGTGATGGGTCACATGAGTATTACTTTAAAGCCAAAGAGAGCCAACATAATAGAATTAATACAGTGAAAAACAAATGAAGGCTAGAATACTGGTTCCCTGTGGTTAAGGGAAAGTAACTGTGAGTATGTGAAGATTAAAGAAAAGGCCTCTGTATTGTTCTGGGGTTTAGGACCTGGAAAGCTTAATCCAGATGTCGTGCAGCTAGTGAACTGAAGGAACTACGAGCTTGTGTACTCTGTGCTTGTTCCTTACCTGAACCACAGTGAAAGGCGATCGAGGACCTGTGCTATTTGCAGTGCTTCTATCATAAAATAAACTGTATCAAAAAGAGTCATTCCAGTACAGTAACATCTTATAAAGCTGTGCCTAGCTGTCCTGATAGGGCCAAAATGAAAATCCACTCACCCTCCATTCTTGCAACGTAAAGAGACTAGGCAGGCTGAGGTTAACACAGTGAACCTCTTCCTTGTCGATGAAAGCAGGGAGAAGAGCAGCAGTTGTGATGAAGAGTTAACCCCTGGCAGCCTCCACTGAACTGAAATAGATGTGTGTTACTGAGTGTCTCTGAACTGCTTTAAACTAACCTAGGTGGTATTACAGTTAGAAGTCAGCTGAATGGCACAGTGACTGCAAGTATCCATGTGAAGTGTTTTAAACCTGTACCCATTGTAAGTCCTATGTGTACATATCAAATTGGAATTTGTTTTGAAGGAAAAGGTGAATGATCAGTGTATGGCACACAGAGTAAACATGCTTACTTTTGAAAAGGTAGTATGAAATCACAACATTTAAAGATAGGGAAGCTGAGGTATGTACTGATTTTATACCTAACCTCTTCTGATAGATAATGTACAGATTAACTGATCAGAGAATACCCTACAAATGTGCAGGTTAGATTTTCCTGTTAAAACCAAGAACAAGCATGACTTTTTTTAATGATGAAGATATATACAGATGATTTTTGTAATAGAGGCTGCTATTATAGTGGGTTTGTATGTGTGCATTTATACAAAATGTATGCAAAACTACATATTTTGATTTATGTATATGTAAAGAAATGAGTGAGTGCATGGGTATTATGATCCATTACCAGCTGTGATGATTAATGAAGTAGATGATGTACTAGGTAGTGTGAGGCTTTTTGGAGGAAGAAAATTACACTGTTGAAGCTGAAAAAAACTACCAGTGATTGTAGATGAAAAGTAGTTGCCATGTTGAAGAAAAGAGGTTCAGAGATATGGAAGAAAACAACTTTTGCAGGCACAGGCACTCTTGTAGTGAACACAGAAAGTGCCGGCTTTCAGGTGATGGAAGACTGTAGAGAGAAACATCTTCCCAATGAAGATTTTTGTCTTGCTTGTTGCCCTGCCCTGTGACTGGGGGGTTTGGGGAGGGTTTTTTAGTGCTTTGATTCTAAACAGGGTCACCCTTTTGGGAATGAAAGCTTGTTTGCCCTGTTGGGAAGTATGTTTTACATTCTTGATAATAAGAGGCCATAAAACCTCTTTAGCACAGGAGACTTAAGACATTGAGGTCTATTGGGTAAACAAGTAATACTGATTTACCTACATGGTTGGGATCTAGTAAGTGTGTGTCTGTGTATCCTGGGGGAGGATCTTAATGCTGTTCCATATGTCAGTCCAGAATTTCCCAGTGCATTATGGTTTCAGTGAAGACACCATCCTTTTCAGAAACAAACTTCCATGAAACCTTCCCATAAGAAATTGCATTTTCTGTAAAACTAATTTTTCCATTAAAGCTGTATTTTGTTGAAAAACTATCCCCAGGAGTTAGCAACAAATACTTTTCTAATGCAAGGTCCTTCTCAGCCATGATTGGGAATGACACTTGTGGCAGGTAAGCGTCACCCCTTTTGCACCTGCAAAACTATCAGAACTGTCCCTATTAGATTGTTTATATTTATACCTCCAAAGCACTCATTTCAGAGCAGCAACTGAGCATGTGAAATGGCTGTCCTCACTTCTCACAAAGTGTAAGTTTAATGCTTGTCAGCATGTGAGAGGCTTTATCTTCTGTACTTGAATTGGTTATCTGGGCTGTTGGGAACAGCTGCCTTTGGATAGGTGCTTCAAAGTTCAGCTTGGTTGTGTGTCAGGCAGGAGAGCTGAGCAAGAATGAGGGGTGACCTGGCATGGGGTCAGCAAGGGCCTGCTGTGGGCAGGGCTGGGGAGCCAACTAGGCGAGAAGCCACTATTGCACAGCCCTGGTGGTGGCTGCATGGAAGTGAGGGTGCAATGTCACCGCTCAGCAGTCACTGGTGACAGCCTGCAGCACCCGTGCAGCATGCCTTTCTGCTTAATAATGCCGGTGTTTCCCATTCTGCTCATCTTCCTCCTCGTGTTCAAGAAATTTAAATAGCATTTAATTTGTGCCTTCATCTTCTGCCTGTCGCTTTGGTAGGGAGATTAATATTTAAATATTGGTTGGATTTCTGTGTGGTAGCTCTGTGATCTCTAGAGGAGGGGTAAAGGTGGTCTTTTCTTACCTCTCTGTTGTAGTAGGTCTTTTTGTTAACTGCTTTTACCTATTTGCTTTTTCTCCAGCAGTCTCCTTCTCCTAAGCTGTACATGCACCTTTTTTTCTAGACTTCTCTTAGCCATTTGGCCTGCATTTAACCCTGCCCTGGTTTCCCTAAGGCTCTTCTCATCCCTGCATGCACAGCCTGCCTCCTAGTGCTGATGCTAGAGAGGGCTCTCAGTACACCAGAGAAGCAGGACCTTACTGGTTTGTAAGCCAGGATGGTGTGCTTCAGTGAAAGGTACTATACAAGTTCAAACTTTTTATCACCAAGAATTAGATAAACACTTTTGAAGAATTAGATTCATGCCCAGATCCACAAAAGTATTTTA